AGTCTTATAGGCAACCTAGAAATAATTTTAGATTCCTCCAGCGAAAGCGAAAGCTCGGATGTAAAATCTGGAGACATTAAAATATGTGAAGTTAAAGCTCAATTGAAGGCATATCTTAAAGAAAAACGAGCTCATTTCGGTGAAAATCTTCTCGATTGGTAGAAAACTAAACTAAAATATGACAAATTGACAGATCTGGCCCGGAAATATTTGAGCGCTCCACCTACCTGCGTTCCAAGTGAACAATTGTTCAGTGCAGCCTATAAGAAATGGCCTCATGGGAGAAAAGGCACCGAAATACTTTTTTTGAACTATAATATGCCCATTTTGAACTTTGACTACTAGATTAAAACACTGTATAGGTACAGTGACCATAATTATGGCAGCCGAATGCGGGACTAAGATTAACTTTGCTAATTTTTCCCACAAAAGCTAGAGTATTTGAACGTCTATTTTCGATTCTTACTCACAAATACCATTTTTTTCCTGCAAAATTATAACTTCAGAAACCACCTACATATGTATGTGCTCCATGATTCGAATCGCAAGCGTCTAGACATAAAAATAAAAACTAGTTCATAGACATGTAATATTAACGCAAAGGCGCCAAAATACCGAGCACGGGAAAAATACCGGACATTAGAAGAAATACAGAACATTTGGCGTCCCGTATGAAATAAATAAATTACCTGGACTAAGGACGAAAAAAGAGGACTGTCCCGTATAATACAGGACGGATGGTCACCGTATGTATAGGTTAAGCACTCGTTCAATGATCTAATAATTTTCAAATTTTTTAAGTAATAAAAACGATGACTTAAGTTGATTATAGCTTTTTTAATGTTATTCCTAACATTCGCATTCCCATTCGCATTCGCACATTCGCATTCCGAAAATTTGCATTCGCATTAGCATTCGCGAATGTAAAAAATATGACATTCAAAACATCCCTAATGCATACATTGGAAGCGTCATATTATTGAACTTGTTTATTTCTTACTGACGCCGCTAAAGAACAACAACATTAGTTCATTTAAAACATGTACAATGGGTGACAAAATAACGTTTTCATCATGACACATTTTCTGTGCGAAATTTAATAGGGCTTCAAAACCACACTATTTAAAAGAAAAACTTTAATAATAGCGTAAAGGAGCTAACCTAGATTAACCCATTCACGACCAAAATTTAGAAATTTAGCTCTTTAGAAAAGCTGTATAACTCGAAAAACCCAAAAATTCGCAATCTATCTATACTATAATAAAAAAAATAAGTGCGCCTGGGCCACAATGTAGAAGTGAAACTTACGTTACATATCTATTTTGCCTCATAACCAATATACATACATACATATGTATGTACATACATAGTGCATACATCTGCTTTTGCTTAAAGTTATATTTTTTGTCTTTTTTCTACATAGATATTCGAATATCGATAACAAAATATCGATAACAAAATCGATAAAAATACCAACAACAAAATCGGTAAAAATATCGATAACAAAATCGATAAAGAATCGATAACAAAATCGATAAAAGCATCGATTAGAAAATCGATAAAAATATCGGTAAAAATATCGATGACAAAGTCGATAAAAGTATCGATAACCAAATCGACAAATAATCGATAACAAAAATCTATCTGATGACAAACTCGATAGCAAAATCGATGAAAAACTCGATAAAGATTTCGATAGTGAAATCGATAATAACATTAATAGCAAAATCGATTAGAAAATCGAATAAAATATCAATAACAAAATCGATAAAAATATCGAAAACAAAATCGATTAATAATCGATAACAAAAATCTATTAGAAAATCAATAAAAATATCGATAACAAAATCGATAAATAATCGATAACAAAGTCGATAAATAATCGGTAACAAAGTCGATAACAATATCGATAACAAAACCGATAAAAATATCGATTATTATATCGATAAGTCCCAAGAATCCCGAAAATCTCTAAAATTCCAAAATAGTTCCCAGATTGAGTCTCTATAATTACCTTTATTTTAATCTTTCTTCCTCTATCTTCATCTTTACTTTTATCGGTATCCTCATCCTCCTCTTTGTCTTTTCTTTTATGTTTAACATTTTTTTAATCTACATATTCCCCTTCACCTTTGCCCTTATATATATAAGCAAAGTGTTTAAATTTACCTTGGTCTTCATTTTTGCCTTTATCTTTAGGCATCTTTGTTTTTGTCTTTATTTTTACCTTTGCCTTTATCCTTTTCTTTATCTATGTATGTACGTACTCTCCTTTACTTTCATTCTTGTATTCGTCTTTTTCTAAGCGTTATTCTTTTACCTTTTATTAGCAAGTTTTTGTTAAATTAGTAACATATGTACACTCAAGAAGCACTTGCTTCCATCCCAACCATTTCCGTTACACCATTTCCGTGTGCAATTTACGTTGAATTTGCCAATTTATTCCCAACCAACCAACCGCCGCTAAAGAATTTTCACTTCAAAAAGTCGTGTCGGTCTGTTTGAACTCACTAATCTCCGAAACTAGTGCATGGATTTTCATGGGGCTTTGACTGGTGGCTAGACATTAACCTCGGACATAATATAGGGTATAACAAATGCGCTCTGACAGGGGACATGGCACATTCCATAGGCGTGAAATTTTTAATCAGCTATAACTTCTTAACCGTAAGTCACATTACTTGGAAATTAGGTGTGAATATCTATGGTAAGTGCATAGAAATGAGTTTACGACAGATGGCGCTAGAGTTGAGATATTTAGAGAATCCCTCTTTATGGTACGACCTGGATTAACGGGTATTAAACGGGCAGTACTGCGTATGCAAAAAATTTCCCCAAAACATAGATGGCGCTGGAGTCCAGGCCTTTAGATACCCATTACGAATTTACTTTTTTAATGACTTTATGAAGGATGGGGTTAAGTATCCAAACAAAGAGGCGCCCCAGATGTCCTAGGCACATCAACGGGTTATGGGGTGCATCAAGAAAAGGTTAGATGAATTAGGAAGAACACGGTAAGAATATCAATGTGCCCGTTTGAACGGGAAAACTCTTTCGTCCTGTGGAACAGCAAGATTTTATAAGAAGGTTATGCACGCTTGGTAAACCTTGCAATTTCTTTCTCACAGTTGGAAATAAAATCTCATAGCATCGAAAGAGATTACTACATATACATATGGCTTATGAGTACGGAAGGTTCTGCTCCTCATTCGGTTCAACCTAAACTGATGATTTTAACTTTACAGGCCGTTTTTGCTTTTCAATACTATTTTTGCAGTAGTCAACGCAAAAGTTCTTATCAGCCGTCGCGAAGCAATTCCTGGTTATAAATAATGTTAATATAACTTCAACAATATTATTGAGGTTGAGGCCGTTTCTAATGTAAAACTTTGTGGAAAAACCACAATAATATACACAGAGTAGAGTTATAGTTGCTACTACGGATATCACCACATCTCGTCATCAGACTTCTTCACCGAGTTCACTAAGACTTGAACCAACAAAAAATAATTTTCCTTCTAAAAAAAATTTAAAAAGTTGGAGAAAATTCAATTGAAAATAAAACATTTTAGTTCATAAATTTATACGAAGTTTAAAAAAATATATATAGGTATGTAAAGGCGCGCTAGTGTTTTGACGGCGAAAAAAGGCGCGTAAAAAAATTTTGCGAAAAAATATCCTTATGAAAAACTTCGGCGAAGTATGCTAAGAGTCTTTGCTGCTAAAGTTTTTTTTATGCGTCTTTTTTCCCCGTCAACTTTTGAGCTCGCGCCTTTATTCGTGTCTAGTGACGATATATGTTTGTATGAAAATGTTTTTAAACTTATAAAGTCTGAAAAAACAGTAAATGAGAAAAAAATTATGAAAAAAGCGCCTAAAAATCTAAAAATTAAAAGAGAATTTTATTAAAAAAGAAAAAAAAAAAATAATAAAATAAGAGAAATAAAAAAATACATTAAAAGATATACATATGCATATTCTTCTTCTTAAAACATTAGAAAGGAAACAAGTAGAAACAAGTAAGAAAGTCTAAGTTCGGGCAGAGTCGAACATTAAATACCCGGCGCAAGTATTAATAATATGATTTTCATCTTTTCGAAAGCTACCGCTACATGGTAAGCCGGGGTGTATCAATTTTGAGTAAATTAGCGTCCTTAAATTTCGAAATATTGAAGTTTCAAGCATTTCTGAAATTTACCGTTATATGAAAAGCGGTCATAATTTTAGTCCGATTTCAATAATTTTCAATGTTTTGCTTTCACGTGGCAAGCACAATAACCATACCGAGTTTGGTACAAATTGGTAGTCCGGTTACCGAGATACATATATGTGATCATAAGTGGGCGGTGCCGCGCCCATTTTCCAAAATTTTATCATAAACATATTTCTTGGTTAAGAATTGTTGCAAGCATCAATTTTGAATAAATAAGCTTCGATATTTACTGCTTTATCGAAGATTTTGTATTTCTCTAAATTACTGTTATACGGGATGTGGGCGTGGTTATTGTCCGATTTTTTAAATTTTCGGCCATTTAGTATGCTGTACCAAGGCCAACAACTGTGCCAAGTTTGGAAGAAATTGGTGGAGCGTTTACCAAGATATACACATGTAACCATAAGTGGGCGTGGCTACGCCCATTTTCCAAAAATTTATAATATTCTTATTTTTCGTCTGAAAGTTATTGTAAATGTCGGTCGGCAAAAATCCTCTTAGCTAAATTCTCCCCGCGGGTGCCGACTGGGCAATGGGCGTCGCTGCTGTCACCGCGATGGCTTAGCACCTAGGCTAGTACCTAGAGCGGGTCTTGGCGGTGGGAGCAGGCGGCGTCTAGCGAAGGCAGGAATACGTATCCATCCGTATCCATCCGTAGAGGTTCCCTGACATAAAAACTCACCATGGAGGCTAGAAAGGAAGAAGAGCGGGCTGGGATATCAGCCCAAACGTCGGCGGGCACAGCGAGTCTACTTGCTGTGTCGCCAGCGGCCACACCTCCGCTGTGATGGGAGCGGTTCACAGCGGTTGTAGTGTTACCGCCAAAGCGACGCTACAGCGCAGGGGTGCCATAGTCCACGAAGACTCGGACCTCGAAAGCGGTGAGAGCGTTAACACACTAGAAGAGGAGGCCTTGCAACGCTCTCCGGGGGATACCAAAGGTGCTTGTTCGGCATCAAAGAAAAGGCCTAGGGTAAAACCCAGTAAGGAGGGGTTGAAGGCTAAAGCCATATACAAGGCGGCGGTCAAAGTCCACGAGAGACTTAGCTGCGAGTCCAACCGGACGAAGGAAGAGGAGGAAAGGTTGGCTTGGGCTAAAGAGAAAATGGAGGAAGGCCGGGCGTACTACGCGGCAAGGCCACGTATCCGGGATTCGCAAACTGCCACGGATCCGGGATTCGCAAACCGGATAGAGGAAGGAATCGCGGCTAAAAGGCAGCGGTCTGCTGAAAGCGAGACAGCAAGGCCAGCCAAAAAATCGAGGCGCAGAGATGACGCTGCAAAGCCAAACGTCAGGCTCGATCTAGAGAAACCGACAACATCGAGAGCGGCGGCAATGGCCAGTGAGATAGCCAGAAGACACCTTATCGTGGCACTCATAGACCGGAGCAATCCGCTGGGACAAATCTCTCAGGAGCGCTGGGGAGCAGCAGAACATAAGCTGCTGGATGCCCTCGTCGCAAAAATGGATGGGGACCCCACCACGACCATGCCAACTTTCGATGGTGCGGGGGTGGCTAAATGGGGTGAAAATAATAAGATGTAAGGACGATCCCTCTCTACTATGGGTAACGGAAGCTGTTGCGACGCTTCAAGGCCTGTGGGAGGGCGCCGTCTTGGAGGTTGTGGACCGCAGCTGCATACCGTCCATACCGAAAGCGAAGGTGCTCATACCCCGCACGGTAAACCCGGAGAATGCGCTGCGGCTTCTGCAGAGACAGAACCCAGACGTGCCGTCGAGAGGGAGGGTGTTAAAGGTCACCAACTCCTGTAAGGAGGATGGCAGCTAAAAGTACATCCTCCAAATAAACAAGCCGGCCGAAGACGTACTGTACGCTAGGTTCGGGGAGATGGCGTGGGGCATAGGTAGCGTATACCTTCGCCTGAAGAAGCGAAGCCTGGCCGATAACAATGTTAACACAGTGGAGGAGCGAGAGGTCGAGAAGGATCTGGGAGAGATCCTGGAGGCCACCTTGAAGCTCCAGGAGACCGAGAATGGTGATCCGGAGATTCCACCCAACCCCAAAAAGAATCCTGATCCTTGCAGTGAAGGTTCTTCAGGCAAATCTGCATAAAAGCAAGGTCGCCTCTACCGAGCTCCTCCTCAATATAGAGAGGATCGGCTACGATGCGGCGTTAGTCCAGGAGCCATGGATAGCGTCGGGAAACGTGGTATCTGGACTAAAGTCGCAAACATACTATACGCACATCCCGAGTGCAACAAACAGGGTAAGAACAGCTATACTGGTAAAGAAAAGTATACACTCTTATATTGATCTTAATTTCTCTTCAGATGACGGTGGTAGCTGTGAAGGATGGCAAGGATGACACAATACTCCTTGCATCTTGTTACATGCCTCACGACGAGGAGGCGCCACCAAACGAGCTCCGGAGGCGAAACGCCCACTCATCATAGGCGCGGATGCCAATGCGCACAACACGGTATGGGGGAGTGGAGATACCAACGAAAGGGGTGAGTCTTTACTAAACTTTATATTAATAAGTAATTTAGATATAGCTAACCAGGGTGAGGAACCAACTTATATTGGCCCTACCTCGAAGAACGTCCTTGACATAACACTCCACACTAGTGCGGGAATCGGAGTACAGAATTGGGAGGTGCTTAGTACACCCTCGTTCTCTGACCATAGGTATGTAGGATTTCAGGTAAAATTCTCAGCCCGTACAAAAAGCGAAACCTTCAGAAATCACAGGAATACAAACTGGGAATTGTATGAAAGGGTAGTGAGGAAGAATTTAACCAAGTAGAGGGTAAGTGACTCCCACTCTGAATTGGAGAAACTGGTAGTCTCACTTACCAACACTCTAAATAAAGCTTATCGCATCGCATGCCCTCCGCTACATGCCAAGCGAGGTTCAAAGCCACCTTGGTGGAACAGGGGGCTCGGAGCACTCAGAAAAAATGTTAGGGAACTCTTCAAACTGGCCAAGGTAGCCGATGACGAGTTCTGCTGAATGGAATACAAGGAAGTACTTAAGGAATACAAGAAAGAGATTCGTAAATGCAAGCGGGAGTCGTGGAAGAGCTTCTGCGGCGAATTAGAAAAAACAACCGAGGTAGCCAGGCTAAGGAAATTGCTATCCAAGAACCCGACTACTCCAAGGTTACTACGTAAAAAATGTGGAGAATGGACTGGAAGCAGTGAGGGCTCACTGGAAGACCTAGTCAACACACACTTTCCGGGGTGTACAGACAGCATAGATCTGCAACTTCTGGGAGTTAGCGTGGAAAATGTCCCCCCGGACATCATAACGGAAGAAAAAATACGGTGGGCAATCGATGGCTTCGATAATATACGAGGGATGTTTAAGACTAAACTATGTGCCTGTCCTTTGGAGAGAGGCGAGGGTCGTATTCATACCGAAGACGGGCAAGGGAAATCCCCTCTATTCGAAAGAATACAGACCAATTAGTCTAACCTCATTCCTTCTAAAGACGCTCGAGAAGATTCTGGACGCCTACATTAGGGATAAGCTGCCGTCGGCCAGCATATCAAAGGCGCAGCATGCCTACATGAAGGGTGGATCCACTGAGACTGCACTTCACTCACTAACCGCGGTAATAGAAAAAGCTCTGGAGCATAAAGAATATGCCCTAGGGGTCTTTCTGGACATAAGTGGGGCATTTAATAATGTCTCCTATGAGGCAATAATGGAAAGCCTAGAAGCAGCCCAGGTAGAGTCTGCCATCCTACTATGGATAAAAAGCCTGCTGAGCTGCAGGAAAATTAAGGCGGAGTGGAACGAAGGCAGGTTGCTCAGACTAGCGCATAGAGGAAGTCCTCAGGGTGGTGTTCTGTCACCACTCCTGTGGCTACTCGTAGCGAACGAGCTTCTGGGAAAATTCGAAGGGAAAGCACCCAGACTAATTGCCTATGCGGACGACATAGCTATAGTTGTTACGGGGAAATTCCTAGACACCATCAGTAACGTAATGGAAAGCGCTCTAAGGGTCGTACATCGATGGGCGACAACAGTCAACTTAGAAGTAAATGCTGACAAAACGGATGCGGTACTGTTCACAAGAAGGTACAAAATCCCCGCGTGGAAACCCCCGAGGCTCAACGGGGAGGAGCTATCAATCAAGGATCACACCAAGTACCTGGGGGTAATTTTGGACAGCAAACTGATGTGGAAGCTGAATGTGGAGGAAAGGGTGAAAAAGGCCAGTGGTGCCCTTTACGCATGTAAAAGGATGCTGGGTACCACATGGGGCCTATCCCCTGGCCTCATGCATTGGTGTTACACAGCGGTAGTTAAGCCGATATTGCTCTACGGCGCTCTGGTATGGTGGATCGCTGCAAACAAAATTTCGTATAGAAAACCATTGGAGCGATTACAGCGGCTCGCTGCACTGTGCATAACAGGATCGCTAAGGACCACTCCAACGGCGGCACTTGAAAGGCTGTTGTATAACATGTACACGGATGGATCAAAAATGGCTGATGGAGTGGGCGCCGGAGTCTATTGCGCCGAGCTAGACCTCAGGCAACCGTTCAAGCTTCCAGAGTACTGCAGTATTTTCCAGGCGGAAGTCTTCGCTGTAGGGAAAGCTATATAAAAAATATCAATATATATGTCGATAGCCAGGCGGCGATTAAGGCCATAATTTCACATCGTATTGCGTCAGAAAATGTCCTTAGAAGCAGGGAAGCAGTAGACAGGGCGGCCGAGAGTAAACGGCTGCATATATACTGGGTTCCAGGCCACTAGGGCATTTTAGGCAACGAAATAGCTGATGAGATTGCCAAAAGTGCCATCCGTCTTGCTAGCGAACCAGTACGGGAAATAGAAAAGTCGCTAAAAACGATCTATAATGAAATTTCCGAAAGAGCTGGGTGCCGTATCAGGGGGAGATGGAACGCATTAGCGACATGCAAAACCACCAAGATCATGTGCAATAGCAGCAAAGGAAACACCCATTTCTTGCTTACACGGTCACGTAGGGATTGCAGGACAGTTGTCGGCCTAATGACGGGCCACAACCTACTGGCATCCCACGCAAGCAGAATGGGCATTAGTAACAGTGACGCATGCAGGAAGTGCAGGGAGGAAGGCATGAGTGAGACGTTAGAACACCTTCTCTGTTTCTGTCCGGCCTTAGCTAGAAATCGTCTTAGATATCTCGGAGCTTCGCAGTTCAAAGGACTAGAGGAGGTTTCAAAACTGGATATTAAGGCACTCTTGAACTTCGCAAAAAGCGTTGACGTCCTATACGACGACAACTTTAGATCGCAGTAAAACGGACCTCCATCTGGCACTACAAAGGACCAACGAGTCTATGTAAGGCGCATCAGCCGGCCAGCGTAACCTAACCTAACCTAACCTATTGTAAATGTCAATTTGAGTGAATTATCTTCAGTAGTTACTAAAATATCGCAGTTTTCGTATTTCTGAAAATTACCGTTATATGGGAAGTGGGCGTGGTTACAGTCCGATTTCGCCCATTTTCAATACCAGCCTTGGATAAATGGAAACCTACATACCAAATTTCGTTGAGATATCTCAATTTTTGCTCGAGTTATCGTGTACACGGACGGACGGACAGACAGACATGGCTTAATCGACTTCTCTATTCATTCTGAGCATTTATGTATGCATTTGTCTATATCTATCTATATTATGTGAACAAAATTAATATACCCTTGTGCACAAGTGCGCTCGGGTATAAAAAGAAATAAGTAGAAAAAAGAAATAAGTTTCTAAAAACTAAATGTAAAATAAAAAAAAAAATTTTTTTTTTTTTAAACAAGAAAAGTTAACAATTAGAAAAAATTAAGCTAAAAAAGAAACCAAATTAAATTTAAAAAAAAACATAAAACGTTTCTAAAATTTAAAGGAAATTAAAAAATTATTTTTTTTTTAAGACAATAAAATCTAAAAATTAAAATACTCTTAAACTTAAATAAGAATTAAAATTAAATTAAAAGAAAAGAAAATACGAAAATTCCGCTGCCCGAGGAATTTAACCTCAGATATCTCGAATGGCTCGCCAATGCTTTGCCACTTGGAACTTGGGGTAGACTTAAAGGTCAGGTCATGTTTATCTATAAACGAAATTTGTAACGTAACCTTTTTAGAGAAACAACTTAAGGGGAGAATTTTTGGCAATTCACATCAACATCGACATATTAAATATATTACCGATTTAAAATAGCCACTGTGCAATGCCAAGCTAACTCCTTTTGGGAATACATGGAACACATGGGACAGTCGATGAATTGATGAACAGATTACATCTTTGGCAATGGTCCAAATTTACACAAATAAATATCACACAGATGATGGTGTTGTTTATTGCTAGCTGACTTGGCAATATACATACATACATATGTAAATGTTTAAATTTTTAAGCGAAGTGTTTATTAAGCGTATGACAATTGAAATTTTTGCACTACAAATTCCAGATTTAGCATTGATTTTCCTGTTATAACTCCAAGATTTTTTAATTTTGCTAAATACATATAACCCACCGTTTTGTATAGTTTTTTGTAGTTGTAGCTTGATAAGAACTTTTTAAATCTC